AATTCATATTAATATATTAGAACTTATAATGTATTAATAAATCATATATCACATCTTCTCAAAATCCCATCCTTACATATTGTTCCAGTGAAATGCAAACCAAATGGACCATGCTACTTTCGGGTCAAGTACATACTAAATATAGTTATGGACTTAGACACCTTATCCAACATTTAAGTGGTTAGATCTTGTATAATGTCACATGTCCTTCACGTTTGAGTAAGTCCGCATGGAAGGAACTCATCAAGTTGGCAAACTTTATGACTCTCCAAAGTCTCATGAGCAACATAGATTGTAGATCTAGGTTTTGGTTGAGGGTTCTTGATATTACAAGAGTTTTGGTCATTTTTTTGCCCATTTTGACCTAAAATGAATGACTTATCCTATCAAATGAAAGAAATACAAACTATATAGCGTTTACCCCACATATTTAAAATAATACGTTATATGGTGTCAGACAAACAAAATAATTTATATCATATGCATTTGGCTTCTTAAGTTCTCTTCTAGCTGTTATCCACTGCATACGTACACCTTTTAAGCACATCACCATCCATACCAAGCAACAAACTCTTCAAACTACACAACAAACCTCTAACAATGTTTCTTACCAAATGTTGTAAAAATCGATTGGAAGCATATTTCGAGTAAATGAGCGGTTCAATTATCATTGATTTTATGCCAAATTCTGGATCAGATTAAAGATGTCAATTTCTTAAAAAAAGGTTGAAGCAATGTGATAGAACCATGAAAAATCAATTTGAACCAGTTTATTGGATTTAGATAATTAAATTGCACTTGACCCCTTAAAAAACTAATTTCTAAAGAAAACTGAGTTGGTTGATCGACGTAAAACTTATGGCTATATGTTTTTAATGTATTAAGATTGATCTACCTATGTATTTTTATTATTTGAACTTAGGATGTCAGATTCCTGACTTATATATATATATATATATATATATATATATATATATATATATATGTGTGTGTGTGTGTGTGTGTGTGTTAATCAAACTAAAAAATCAATTATTACAACCTAATGTTAAGTTTGGAAAGTTATATCTCTAGACATATTGTAATATTTTTAGTGTATATATAATTGCTAATTTAATAAAAATATATGTTATTTTATCAGTATAAATCAAAATATGTTTTTAATATATATATTTCTAACATTTAACTTGATTTTAACTAATATTTAAAGGGAACATGACTTACAAGGGTAATCATCTTTGTCGTTTTGTTTACATTTATGTAACTTCTTTATTTTTGTTCACATTAGAACATTTAACTTGTTATATGTGTTCACATATTAGCATTGTCACCGACTATAGAAGGTGAAATGGTAGTATGTGAACAAATTAACAATTTAAATGGTTAAAATGTGTATAAAAAAAGAAAGTTGTCTAAATATGAATAAAACGGAAAGTTAATTACCCTGATAAATCATTTTCCCAAATTTTAGTAGCGATTTTATTTTTCATATTTGTTTGTATTATTTTTTTTAAACGTTATTTTTAAAATATCCATAATTTCCTAAATATTAATTAAATATTTATCAATTTTAAACTTTACTTTTTAATTAATAAATGTGTTTTTGTTTTGTGAAATGTTTTATATAGCCTCTTATATATTTTCTTCTTTTGTTTTGAAGCATATACAATATTTTTAAAGCAAATAACATCTAACAATAAAATTAAATAAATTAAATATGTAACAATAAGAATGAAGAGTATTTTAAAAATTAAAAAGAAAATATTACTTACCAAATAAAAAATAAAAAAATCTATATAATGTAAATGTTTTAAAATTATTCCAACTTTTTTAATGCTTTTTACTTAAACTTTTAATTTTTTTAATACAACGTTTTAGACTAGTATTTAATGAAAGTATTTTAAAATGTTATAAAAAATATTAAATTGTCATATAAAATGTATGAAACACTTTAAAAAATATTGTAAAGAAAGTTTAAAAATAAATGTATTAAGGTTATAGAAAAATAGTATGAAAAATATAAAAAAAAACAAGTAAAAAACTTGTAAGAGAATTTTAAAACATTTATAAAATATTTGATTTAAAAGCATTTGTATTAAAATTATATGAAAGTATAAAAAAAGTTGAAAAAAAAATTATAAGCAAAGTTTAAAACATTATATTAGAAAAACCTACAAGAAAAAAATTATCATAAAAATATTGTAAGAAATTATAAAATATTTTAAGAAATTTGTAAAAAAAAAAGTGAAAAAATATCATACAAATGTTGTAACAAATTATAAAAAAATTTAGGAAATTTATAAAAAAAATGTTCATATTTAGACAACTTTCTTTTCTTCTACATATTTAACCATTTAACTTGTTAAATACTAGGTATGAGACCAATGTAGTACATGAGTTTACTTAAAAAAAATTAAATATGAATTTTAACAATTTAAAAATTTTGAATTTATAAGAAAAACGAGAAATTTTTTGAATTATTAAAATTAATGAGACTTTAATGCATTGAATACATTTTATATATATATATATATATATATATATATATATATATATATATATATATATTCTTTACATATTAAATATAGAATTTTAATTTAATAAGATAAAAAATATAATAAAATAACAAATGAAAAATAAAAATTTCAAATTTTTTAGAAAATATCATATTTCCAAATGAAGAGAATAGAACATATGACAAAAAATTCATTATTTATTAGGGATGATATTCACATATTACTATTATCACCTGTTATAATAGGTGACAATGATAATATATAAATATACTTAAATATATAAAAATAAAATAAAATTATTTAAACGTAAAACAAAAAGATAAATTTGTTTTCCCAAAATTTAAGATAAGTTTTATATTAAAGTAGTACACATTTTGAAGTAGAATTTGTAGTCGAATAAAAATGCAAGGTTCAAGTGAATGGGAAAATAATGTAAAGGGATGACACGTTGGTATGGCAGTGATCGTAACTGTTGATATTTAACAAGCCTTCTGACGTCAGCCAACTTGGGAGTCAAAAATATCTTCATTATCGTAAATCACGGCGTCACGTGACCTGGGCCTACCAGAAAAAAAGAAAGAAAAATATCTGTGATATAAACCATGGTTAGTCTTTAACCGTGGTCCCAACTTTCACCTAACCCCCAAATCCCCAACTACTACTAATACATATCATATCTCAATATCAAAGCATATACTCTACGCGCTACCCGTACGCCGTCCCAAAAGCCATTTTCCAACGTAAAATACTAAAATAAATTGAAAAAAAAAAATTCTACACCATTTTATTTATTTTTTTGAATGGACGGCTGGCTAGATTTTATGATATATTAGTGAATTGTATAACATTTAAATTTTATCAAGTGTTTATTAGAAGGATTTTCAAATCTGATAAGGACTTGAGACTTGCTCATAACTAAGCAAAACGTTTTAAGAATAAAAAACTTACAAGATATAATCAAACTAGCAAAAAAAGAAAATGATCTTTTAGTAAAGTTAAAAATAAATATTTGAAAAAAAACGTTATAGTTATTTTAAGCAACAAACCAAATATTTTTCTTTTATAAACTACAAATGTATATAATTAGATAATTACGTCTAACTTTTAATATAAAAACTAATTTAGTATGATTTAAGGTTAACATCATAAAAAAATTACATATAATTTTTTATCTAATTAAAGTTTAATTTTATTTTTCTTTGAAAATAAAGTTTAACTTTATTTTTCTAATTAAAGTTTAACTTTAATTAGAAAATTACATATAATTTTTTATCTAATTAAAGTTGAACTTTATTTTTCTTTGAAAATGATTTTGTATTTCAATTTGGCCATTTAGCAGCGTATTGGTAATATTTTGGTTTTAACTTTTAAACAAATTTTTTTTTTCTAAAAAACCGTCTGTTTTTTATTCGAAAAAAATATCAACTTTTTTTTTTTCACGAAAAAAATGTTAAAGCCGAGAAAAATATCAACTTTTTTTTTTCACGAAAAAAAATGTTAAATGTTAGGTTTTTTTCAAAAAAATAAATTAAAAAAATGAGGTTTTGTTCCTGAAATAAACAAAACAATAAGTTATAGGATTTTCAAAAAATAAGAGTTTGAGAATTTTTCCGTAAAAAAGATTGTTTTTAAAAATACAAGTTTTTATTTCTAAAATAAAACAAAATGAAGATTTAATTAAAAAAAACCCAATATACAAGGGTTTTTTTTAAAAAAAAATAAAATAATATTAACCTATCATATAATATATTTTTATAAACTTATTTAAAATATGTTATTGTTATTTGTTGAGAGTTAATAATAATCCTTCCTGATAAATGAATGTTTTTTTGTCACTTGTCACACTCTTATTCAACTAACTAAATGTCATTTTTCGATTATTTTGAATTATTTTTTTCACATGTTGTTTTATGAGTTTTTTATATTTTATTAAATTGTATATAATATTTTAATATAATAATTGCAATACATATATTAATAAATTGATATCAATTTCATTTTATGAACTTAACCCATATAATACATAAGTTTTACAACCAGTGTGTTTATATACCAAACTTATCATGGAATAATTAAACCTCTTGGAAATTTATATAATCATATTCTAATTTACAGAAACGCTTAACAATTAATTGCAATAATAAAAATATAATTATTGTTATTTGTAATTTATAATCATATTCTAATTTGCAGACTTAACAAATTTACTGCAATAATATATATAACTATTGTTCTTCTCTAAAAGTTATAATTTGTCTATATACTAAACTAATATGGAATAAATATCTTATAAATTTATATAATCATGCACAGAACGTTTACCAAATTATCGCAATATATATATATATATATATATATATATATATATATATATATATATATATATATATATATATATTTTGTTACTTAATTCACATGTTCTAATTATATTGTAGTAATTTACGTGAAAGTAATAAAAATAAATAAATAAATAAATAACTCTTAAAAATGGATACGTTCGAGCTTATACCCCAACCATGGTTAGGGAAAACAGCAAGCCAGAAGCGCACTACGCACCGCGAACAGGTTAGCAAATCATGGTCAATTGTAACCTCCCTTCGCCTATAAAAGCACACCATTTCCACTCTTGGCAACTCACACTAGCTTCTCTTCTTTCAGAGCCTCCTTTCAGCTTTTCTCTCGATCCATACATACATGGCTTCAGCAGACGTCGAGTACAGATGTTTCGTCGGTGGCCTCGCATGGGCCACTACTGACCAATCACTTGAAGAAGCATTCTCACAATACGGCGAGATCATCGATTCGAAGGTCCGTTTGTCGCAGAGTTCGGATTCGGATCGATCCCGATTCGGCTTTGTTTGACAAATCACACGATACAAATCTCTCTGTTACTGTTACTGTTACTATGGTTTTCTTGATCTGTTACTATTTGTGTTACTTTTACTGATATCTAAAGCGGTACGTTCATCCTCTTCTGTTATAAGAGACGACGATCGATCGATTTTATGATGCAGTTTCAGTTTGTTGAATACGAATTATTTGTTTCGGATCCTGATTGTGTTTTTTTTTGGTATTGTTTAGATCATCAACGATCGGGAGACTGGCAGATCTAGGGGATTTGGATTCGTTACCTTCAAGGAGGAACAAGCTTTGAGAGACGCGATCGAAGGGATGAACGGCCAGAGCCTTGACGGACGTAACATCACCGTCAACGAGGCTCAGTCCCGCAGTGGAGGCGGCGGCGGTGGCGGTGGATTCCGCAGCGGTGGAGGCGGTGGCCGACGTGAAGGTGGATACGGTGGAGGTGGTGGTTATGGTGGCCGCCGTGAAGGAGGCGGTGGATATGGAGGAGGACGTGACCGTGGATACGGCGGTGGTGATGGTGGAGCCCGTTACTCCAGGGGAGGCGGTGATTCCGAAGGAAACTGGAGAAATTAGATTAGATATTCATTTGTAGACTATCGGGATCTGATTTGGTATTTTCAATTTTCGCACTGTTGTTGTGTTCTGTTTTTGACCTGTTCTTAGTTACCCTGCGTTTCTATCAATTGCTTTGAGAAAGCACTAGTTAAAATGAAAAAAAAAAAATGGTTCCGGTATATCATTTCCCTTAATTATGTCCATTAAATGTTGAACTTGATAGATTCGAATTAACCAAATCCAATTAAAGCCATTTCTCGTGTTCTTCAAGGTGGTACCTTTATTATTATTGTTATATTATTATTAATTCGTGTGGTGTTGCCTATTTTAATTTCAAAAAGGAGGGGGTTGGGGTTCTTTACATTTGATTTGATGATAAAGATCCGTTTTCTTTTTTATTAAGCAAAGAGAAGCCGGTCCAAAGCTTTTGTTTATTTCACTTTTAATTTTCCTTTTTATCTTTAAATAATAAGATTTCTTATAAAATTGGTAAAAAATTACTCACTGATTTGGTTGATACCGACTCGAGATTGCACGAACTCGATGTGTGTATATATATGCCTAGTCGGTATTGTAATTATCATCGTTCTCAGAACAATCCATACATAATATACCTACGATGAACTACCGCAGAGTACTCGTTTGGTATCTTCGTTTGGAAGTGATATATAAAACTAAACGGCGTGGGAGGGCTTTTCCGATTGCAAACCCTATGTTGCATTTTTGCCGGCGGTCAACATTACGTCCAAATTTTTTTTGTCTTCGGTGGTAAATTTCAATGCTAAAAAAAAGTGTCATATAGACTTCACATAAACTTTTACCATTTTTGCAACATTTTGTATAGGGGTGAGCAAACCCAAACCAAGAAACCGAGAAACCGACTAAAACCGATGAAACTGAAACCAAAAAGATCGAAACCAGAGCAAAACCGACGGTTAGGGTTTGAATTTTTTAAAAACCGAAAAATCGGGTTCGGTTTCTGTTTTTACCCAGAAACCGACCCATCCAACCCGAGAACCGACCAATACTTAAACTGACAAACTGCTCCAAATTATTTCGGACTTCAGTTGTAACTTGTAATAGACTATTTGTTGTAAGACTCATGTTTTTTGAAGTATTTAACTTAAATTTGATGTTTTTTTGAAGTATTTAACTTGTTGTTTCATTTATGGAAAATAGGTTAAAACCCAAAACCTATGTGTTTAAATCCAAAACCCGTGAATATATGGGTTGAACCCAAGAAACCAAAAAACCATCCAAACCAACCTTAGAACCCGATAAACCGAACCGACCAGAAACTGGTCCTATTGGGTTCTGAAAACCAGAAACCGACCATTTATAGGTTGAGTTGGGTTTGAGTCTAAAACCGACCCAAATCGACCCATGCACAGCCCTATCTACAAGTGCGGTGTGGTGGTTTTTTTACCAATAATATAATATATATATATATATATATATATATATATATATATATATATATATATATATTATATATATATATATATATATATATATATATATATATATATAAAAGAGAGAGAGAAAGAGAGAGGTTCAGGTATTAAAAATAATTAGTGTGTTATTATATACATAAATGTGAGCCAATCAATTTTAATTAAAAAATTAAATAATTAAATAAGTAAATAAATGTATTTTAGTAATTTGTTTAGTAACTTTCAAAAATAATCCTTATAATCATGGTATTGATTTTTAACCTAAATAAAGAAGTATGTTTTGTCAATCTCCCACCCGATAAAGCCTAGCATCCTAGAGGAGAGTATCAATGTTTTTCAGATCGTGTTCTGAAACCCCCGTCCACGAGTTCTAATCGGAATGGTGCTCAACTTGTTCAAAGGCATCATAAGCTCACAGCCGGTGCGTAGTCGGTCGATTCGTGAGGAGAGAGTATTTTCCGGGTCGTGTTAATTCACACATCGTTCTTCTTTATTAACCCTAGTCGTCGATGCCGATGATAAAAAAAAAAGATAAGAGGGTTGAGCTTGCCCCTTTGCTGACCAACACCATCAGCCACCATCGCCACCAAACACCAACAACCACCACCATCCATCTGACCATAATCTTCCATCGACAGCAAGAACGCGAGGCGACTGCTGCCTCGTATTTGCATCAATTTCCATCGATGAACTCGTCACCATCTGATTCTCTTGCAAAACTGAATTCCTCATCCTCAATAGGTGGCTTATACTCCTCATCTGATACAGATCCAGTAATTTCAAACTCTCATATAATCTATGTGGTTAATAACCAAACTTATATTCTTATCTAGTGAATCAACATGTATATCCAACCCCCAACCCTTTTACCTTATCTGTTTACAATATATCATCAAGTATTATTCACAAAAAATAAAATAAATCTGTAACGTCATAAATTTCTAAATAATTTTTTCATTTTTAGAATAGCATAAACATTTATTTTTGTTGAAGTTAGATTCAAGTCGACCAATTGTTCATAAGCCACTGTTCAAAATTAGAGTTATAAAAAGACAATGCGGAATCTTAAATTATAAAACGGTTGATATGTGTACAATCATGCTTTCGCATTTCGATAAGTACCTAAAAACATTTAATCCACAACTGCAAACATAAAGATTAGCGAGTTCCCCAAATATCACATACAACACAACATAATAATCAGTTATGGATTATCAGCAACACTGAAACTAGTTCTGTTGTTTTCACTCCCGTTTAGTCCCGTTGACATCCCTAGTTCTGTTGTCGGTCTTATCCCAACTCATATGCTAATCCAACCAATAGGCTTACGTACAAAGCCTTATTTGAGTGTCCACTAATAAAATTCATCATCTTATAAATTAAATTCAGATCTAAATAGCTTATATTTCTCTATGGACAATCATTATCATTTTTCGAAGTACAACATACACCACTAATAAGTAATGACACATAAAATATATCAAAAAAATTGATAAACAACACCACATATACACACATAACATGTACGATGTATGTATGTACCATATATATGTGTGTGGGCAGACTAGGCCTAACATAACATAAGGTCCAAATCCACGAACCATGCCAGCCTTCTCTGGTGTTGTGATGGGAAATTGTATCCCCTTCTCTTAGATCCCTTTCTTAAAATTCTCTTAATTAAAGAAAATGAAAAAAAAATAGTGTTTCTAAGTTTTTTAATTAAAGAAAAAGGAAAGATGAAAAGATAACTTTCCCTTCTAACTTTCTTCTCTTTTGGTAGGGTTTGAATAGAAAATAACAAAATAATCAATTTTTCTTTATTTCTATAAGACTCGGGAACACAAAATAATTTTTTTTTTTGGAAATAAGACTTACTATGGTAATTAAAAATTTGATTTATCAATATCTAGGTAATCATTTTTTTGTACACATCTAGCTAACAAACTTTTTGTAAGCATTCACATATGATCATTATGATCGGCTGTAGCACGTTAATTGTCATATGTGAGCACTTTCAAAAGTTCGTTACTTAGATGTGTACAAAAAAAAACTAGTTATCTAGATGTGAACAAACTGTAAAGGCAATAGTAAATGACACGAATGGTCCTTGTAGTTTGGGATAATTTGCACGTTTGGTCGTTAACTTATTATTATTTTTTTTAACTCGGATGACCCCTGCTGTTTATTTTTGTTGTGTGCTTGGTCCCGTCTTACCTAAAAAAAATATTATTCCATTATTAGTTTATTTTTAATTAATTTTCTTATTTATGTTTTTATTTGTTATATATTTAAGAAAACTAATACACCCTACATATTTTTATCTCTGCACCCTAAATCTGAAACCAAATATAAAAATTTTAATCTGGGTCCCACCACTCACTGTCTCATCTCTCATCCTGCTCATCTTCTATTTCTTTTCCATCTTCAGTGACATCGACAACTTCACTATCCTTTTTTTTTTTCAGTTCTTCAACTCCGATGATCAAACATTACAACATTCTACGCTTTAACTCTTCAAACAGTGCCATCTCTATGTATTTCTCTAAATTGAATAAAAATCTAGCATTAGAAATATTACCCTATTTGCGGCAACAATTTAAACTTTCAAGTAAGGGGAATCAAATTACATCATAAGAGAACCAACTACATTTTGGATTTGATTCCACATACTTTATGAAAACCAAAATCAATCGATTTATCTGCTATCGTTATGGATTTTGAAATTCCTATAATACATGAAGCAAGAGCAATGTTATCGATGTAGATAAAAGCTATCGATATAGATAAAACTATTTCTATATTTTGTATTTTAAATTCCTATAATACATAAAGCAAACTTCATTGAAAATGATGTTCTTCATATTATTTGTCTCTAGTTCTGATACTTTTAGTTTCTAGTAAATTTAAAATTTTATATTTAGTATCTTAAACAATAAAATTCTATAAAACGACGATGTGTTTTTTCCATGTCAAATCTAAAGTTTTTTTTTTTTTTTTTTTTTTTTTTTTTTTTTTTCAAAGTAGTATATTTTAAAAAGATATTTACCAAAATTGTATGGTTTTAAAAATATTTATCATTTAGGTTAACATTTGTACCAAATCAAAATTAAATTGTAAAATAAAAAGAAAAAAATTAACTTATCAGGGTAATTAACTTTTCGGTTTGTTCACATCTAGGGATGTCAAAAACCCTCGTGGGACCCCGATCCCGTACGAGACTAAATATTTAAAAAAACCGGGAGCGGGAGCGGGGGCAAAATTAAACCCCGCTTGTTTTCGGGACAGGGGTCGGGAGTTGGTATTTACGTCCCGTACTCCCGCGGGGGCCCCGGTTTAATATTTATGTAATATATATATATATATATATATATATATATATATATATATATATATATATATATATATATATATATATATATAAAAAATACATATACAAAATAAATTTTCTAATTTTAGGTTTAGGTTAGGTTTCACTTTCCCGTTTCCAATTAAAGGATATTGAAGAGGTAGTGAATTGATCATCTATTTTTAGATATGTAAGTATTTTATATTTGTAATATTGGATTTGTCATATTTTATATTTTTAAGATTGTTGGAATTGTCGTTTTGTAATGTTGGATTTTTAATTTTTTAGTTTCTAAAAGATTATGTTTTAAACTTTTAAAGTTATTAAAAATAGAATTGTTAGCCTAAACCAAAGTAGTTGTTTAGCAAAAAAAAAAATGAATTTTAAGCCTATAAACTAGGGGAACGGGTGCGGGACCGGGGGCGATGGAGGTAACCGAGGGCGTGACCGGGGGCTATGAAAACGGGGGAGCCGAGGGCGGGACCGGGAGCGGGGGCAACAACTAATTTCGAGGGCGGGAGCGGGGGCATCTATTTTCGCTCCCGTTTAGTCCCATTGACATCCCTAGTTCTGTTGTCGGTCTTATCCCAACTCATATGCTAATCCAACCAATAG